CCCCAGCGACGCGGCACTCCTGCTGTTAGCCCAGCCCTCAATCAGGCAGGAAACACTACAAACAGTATTCATAAAACCCCCTACTGAAGATTGAGGGCAACACCTGCAGAAGTGAGTCAGCCTGTCCAGTTTAGTCCTGACCTGCCCAAGCTTAGTTACAAAGCAGCACCCCACAACCAACTCCCTACCTGCAACACACTAGTGTCAACGACGGGCAGGTACGTGTTCTCTGTACACCTGGACTGTGACTCTAGCCACTAGAACTTGCGGTGTGGGGTGAGCGTCTGTTTCAGGGAGGGCCAATAGTCTATCGCTGCAGGGAAAAGTAAACTACTCACCACAGCTCTCCCCAGTCACAAGCTCAGAACTCTGCAGTACTTGGCCTACTGGCTATGGCTTCTGGCAGCTCAGTCTCCTCTTGGCGAGCCCTCGTGCTTGCCCTCTCGACGGCGCATCTGACTAAGCCGTGGTTCGAGCTCCACAGCTTTTGGGGGAAAAATTCCCCAAGGGACGGTGTCCGCCTCTGCACTATCACCAGCCTCCACGGTCTGCTCCTGGCCATCATCTTCGCACGCCTGGGTCGCCGCCGTGGGGGTGAACACATCTGCAGAGTCTATGTCCGCCGCCGCCACTATGAACTGGGCCATCTCAGCCCCTGCTTGGGCGCACAGGTCAGCCCATCCAATCTGGCCTCGGCGCCACATCTCGTAGAACGGGAAGACGTCCGCGTCAGCAGTGTTGTAAGTTCTTCCCATCTTTTGCTTTTTGGTGGCCCCCTCTCGCTGATCTGGTATGGGCTGCTGGTCGTGCCCCGGTTCTGTTGCAGGCGTAGTCTCTCCGAAGTGAGGCTCCGCATTCTCAACCAGCCTTTCTTCTTCGGCTCGAATCCTTTGCTCTGCTTCGACTGCCGGGACCACTTGGCCTTGGAAGAGGTACTCGGTCTCCTGCGTTTGAGAGGCCTGGATGTGGATGTGAGCTACAGCACCTGGTTCGTGGGACAGCAGGAAAGAGTGCTGTTGCCCTTCACCCGCCGAGACTTGTACTCGTAGGCCTGGTCGGTGTCGGGTGCTCCACCCCATTCTGGCCATCACTGCAGCTCTCTCCGCTTTCTGTGTCTCCTTGGCTGCCTGCTGCAGGTGCCAATTATACAGGGCCTCATCAGCCTTTCGCTGTTCATCTTCTTCTATTTCGCGGTGCACTTGTGGGTCGCTTTCTCCAGCACTGTCAGCCTCAACTCTGTGAGGCTCGTGCGAGGAGCTGGCCCCATTGCCTTCCTCGGCCCTGGTGCGGTCCCGGGCTAGTCTGCTGCGCCACTCGGCCACCCAGTCTTTTCCCGCCATGGTGGGCTCTCCTGGGATTCCATGGCAGCCCGGCATATAGGCGACTAGCACTGCTTCAACCATGGCCCATATTGTGCTCGGCGCTCCCATTGCTCGCATGGCGCGAAGAAGTGCTACGGCTCGAGCTGCGGCCTCGGCTTCCGGGAGGGTCTGGAGCTCGGCTTGGATGGCGGCCGCATAGGTCGTCTCGCTGTCGGCGCTCGCTCGGCGAGCGGCGAGCATGCACTGCATCAAGCTCTGGCCCTCTGCTTCCTGGTCTTCTTCTCTGAGGACAGTCAGCACCGCCACTGTGAGGTTGAAGACCCACTCTCTCTGGATTGGGGGTAGGTCAACCAAGCTCGGAGAGCTTGTCATGCCTCTTTCCTTCTCAGGAATCACACACAGGACCAGGTCGAGCCATTGTTGGGCGCGGGCCTGTTGGCGTAGCCCGCTGGCATACTCCATGATGCGGCGTTTGGCGGCTTCTACCATTTCCACAACAGAGTGCTGCTGCAGCCATGCCTCCTCGAGCCAGGTCCTGCATGCCTCAACCTCACGGCGCGCTGCGGGCCGTGCTCGTGGCGGGGGCTCCCCTTTGCGGGTAGCCTGGGCAGCCTGCATGAGGGCCGTTACCTCCTCTTCTTCGGACTCCTCTTCCAGGAACACTTCAACTTCTTCGTCTGCATCACGGTCTCTAGCACTCCAGTGCATTGTTTCCGCTGCTGTTGGGGCTTCCAAGTCGGCACCGCCGTGTGCATCTTCGGCATGCACCTCCTCGTTGCTCAGCAGGCCGCGTTCATGACCCACTTTGTCTACAATGGCCTGGAGCTCGCTTTGCAGCAGGGACGCGAAGTTGGGTAATGCCTCAGCCATCGTTGCAAACTCTGCCGGCGTCTTTGACACCAGCGTTTCATACACTGTGCTATATGCCGGTTCGTTGAGGAAGCCTGGCATGCGTGTTGGCTCCGGATCCTCGTAGTCGGAGTCGGTGTCAAGGCCTAAAAGGGTTCTCCACAAGAAGGCGGCGCCAAGGTCATCTAGCTCCTCCTCAGGCTCGTCGCTTGCAGTCTCCGGTGCCGCAGTAACTTCAGGACTTTGCGTCATTGGTCCACTTGAGCTGCTGGCCGCTGCCTCTCGTCTTCCAGAGCGTCTCCAGGGGGCCCGAGCAGCGCCAGGGCACTCCGCCAGGTGGCCATCTGTTGTGCGGCGGCCTTCACTTGTGCTGGTGCCAGCTCCACCAGGGACGAGACGTCTGGTAGAGGTGGTGACGACAACCCCAGGGCCCGTCCGCCATGCAGACGGGTTGTCAACTAAGCGTCTCAGGGCCTTGGAGTCCTTCTTTTTGAGCAAAAACTTTTTCACCACTAGGGCCGTCTCATCACCTTCATCCATCGGGGTCCGCTTGGAAAGTAGGCGTCTCCCGGACGCTGCTCGCCGGCTTCTCGCCAGCTTCTGCGGAGTGCGGGACCTTGACAGTCTCCTTGTTTGCGCCTCCCGGTTCTCAGCCTGCATGCTGGCATCATCGCTCTCCACAGGCTCGATTCCATGTTCCAGGCGATGGGCTTCCCTGTGCCGGTTGCGGCATGCAATCGGGCACAACGTTTCAAGCCATCTTTTGCGAAGGTGGGCCTCCATCTCCGCCGGGGCCTGATTCCACTCCTGCTGCGTGAGCGGCCCCCATCTCATCGGGCGTCCCACATGGCTCTCTTGGCGCCACCCTCTTCGTAGGCCTTCAATCCAGGCGAACGCCATGTTCTCGTATCTCTGGTCGCCCCGCGCCCGGACTTGGGCATCCATCGCATCAGCCAACTCCCCTGTATCCCGGCCTCCTCGTTGGTACTCGTGGCCTCGGTCAAGGAGCATCAAGAACCACACCGGCTCTTCGCCCTCCGGAAAGGCCTCTTCCCAGGGGTTTCCTTGTGTTCCCAGGAGAAAGGCAATGCTCCAAAAGGTTTGTGTCATCGAGCTCTCGTCTAAGTCCACTTCCAGGTAGGGCTGTTTCTGAGGCCAGCTGTCAGGGGGCACTGCTGGCACTTTGTCCTCGGTCATCTTCAGGGGACTCGCAACACCGAGGGGGTCATTGGGCTTGTTCTTTTGCGGAGCTTGATGGCAAAGGTCGGGGTCGTGGCAGCGATCTTGCAGGCCTTGTTGACAGAGTCCGGAATCACTGCGAGGGTCGGGTGGTCGGCTTGCATTAAATGGTGCTTCGTCTTCCACGATTTGTGCGCGGGCACCTAGCTGTTGTGCACAGCAAACTGGGCAGGCATCTCGGCGGCATTGCATGATTCGGCGGAGCTCACCATTCTTGTTTGTTCCCTGCGTCCTCGGGGGAACATCGTGACCAATGTTCTCGAGGGGAAGGAGCTCGTCAAGGGGCTTGTTCTTTCGTCGAGCTTGATGGCAACGCTGTTGTCCATGGTGGGGCTGTTGCAGATCTGGCTCGCTGTTGTGGCCAGTGTCTACGTCTGCAATGTCCTGGTGCTTCTCGCGGGGGATCGTGTAGTCGGCGGTTACCATGGGCATGTGCTTCCGCCGACCTTGTTGGCATAGTCCGGAATCACTGTGAGGGTCGGGGGACTGGCCTGCTTGAAGTGGCGGTCTGTCCTCCACCTTTTGTGTGCGGGCAGCTGGCCGTTGTACACAAAGATCTGGAAGGGCATCTTGGCGGCATCGCTCGACTTGGTGAGGCTCGCCATGCTTGTTTGTGCCATTCATCTGCTGGGGAATATCGTGGCCCATGTTCTCTACGGGACACGGCTCGTGACGGGGCTTGCTCTCTCGCCGGGCTGGACGGCAAGGCTCACGGTCATGGCGGTGCTGTTGCAGATCTGGTTCACTGCTGTGGCCAGTGTCTACGTCTGCATTCTCTTGGTGCATCTGCCGGGGAATCGTGCCGTCGGCGATCGTCATGGGCATGTGCTCCCGCCGACCTTGTTGGTAAAATCCCGAATCACTGCGAGGGCCGGGGAATCGACCTGCACGGCCTGACAGTTTGTCCTGCTCTCGACGCATACATTCTCCTGAGCACGGCCCATGAAGGTCTGGAAGGGCATCTTGGTGGCATCGTGCATTCTGGTGGGGCTGCCCCTCCATGTTCGTGCCATTCACCGTCGGGAGAATCATGTAGTCAATGCTCTCCGGGAAGAAGAGCTCTCGCCACACTCGTGGACAACCTTCCAGATCGTCGCGAGGCTGGTGCTGTCGAACTTCATGTTGTGCTGCTCCGTTGCCCCCGACAAGGAGAGCCAAAAGAAGACCTGCACAAGCGATCCATCCGGCCATCCTGCTGGTACTGGCTGCGCGGGGCTCACTCGCAAAGGATGCCCGCTCACTTTAGCTGCGAATTGAAGATTGGCCAAGTTCCTCTGTCTTCAAGGAAACTGCAAAAGGCTGCGCACATTCAGGCTCAAGTTGTTCAAGTAGAGATTCAGCAAGCAGGCTCAACGATCATGGCACAATACAGTCATGTAGAGAAACAAACTCGAGATCAGGTCAGTGACGGCAGGCTTCAATGGTAGGATAGCTTCGTTGTCTCCAGTGTTTTGACGTGTCGATACTTGTTCACATTGGGCCAGCTTTGGGGGGGGGGGGGGGGGGGCAACCTCACCCGGGAAGGGATCACAACAGCCCCTGCTCACCTGCCCCCTGAAGCCCCTTGGCCAGCCACTCGTTCAGGCAATCTTAGTTGGCAAGGGCCAGCTGTCGGCCCGTGCACCAGGCGATGTCGTTTTGCTGGATCCAGACTGGTTCGCGCTTCTTCCAATCTGCAGGCAGCATGGCAAGAGACCTCCAGTGTGCAACTCCTGCAGCTCTATTGAGTCTGATCTCCTCATTGGACATGTGGGGGTAGAACGCTGCAGGGTGGCGGGCACCGTCTCTCCGCGCTTGCTGCGCGCGCCACCAGGGTAGGGTTCGGAAGCCATCTATGATGGCACTCGCTGGCGGCTCTTCTCGCTCCGCTGACCTGGCAACATGCCCTCGGTACTGCCAGTGCCTGCGCAACCACTGCGTGCTCCACCGTTCTGCACCGACATTTGCTAGGATTTGTCGGGCTGCTCTCAGGCCTCTAAGTCTGAAGTCTAGCCACCCTTCAGCAGGTTTTCTGCGAATTCCCGACATCCGGGCAACCATTTCTAGCTGCATGCTGTTGAGGGCACCCATCGCTTGGATGTTAGGTGGCGCTGCAGCTGCATACCACAAGGCTGCCCCTCCCACACAAGACTGGAACACCTGAAGGCGCTTTTTAAGTGGACCTCTACACTCAAGTAGCCCTCGGCTGGCGAAGTACTTCTTGCGTGCCTTAGCCAGCCCTGTGTCCATAACCGCTGCCGGCTTGAAGGGGACTCTGAGCTTGACACCCATGACCTCCAGGGTCCGACATCCTCTTATCCAGGTCCCATCCAGGCATATCTGGCTGCAACTTGTCGCGTAGGGCGAGCAGTAAAAGGAGGTCTTTTTGGGATTGACCATGAGGCCCCACTCTCGGAGCTCCTTGCTCAGGACTTGGAACTTTTGCTCAAGGGCTTCCCGTCTGGTCTCCCAAAGTATGCTATCATCCATGAACAACAGGGAGGTAAGCTGGAGGTCTGGGGCGCTGCTCAGGGGGCCAGGCCAAGTCGGGTGCGACTGTGCAGTATGTAGAGCACACTCCATAGCGACAGCGAAGATGAAGGGGCTCTCTACGGAGCCCTGGCGAATCCCGCGGGTTTGGTCAACTGCCTGAGTTCCCCACGGCGTTCTAATCCATGCTACACCAGGGTTGAGTAGCTGTTTCCAGGCTTCGAATTCGTGCCACATCTCGTCTGGCAGGTGTTCACTGAGGTATTCCAAGACCTTGCTTCTGTTGATCGAGTCATAAGCTTTGTGGATGTCCAATTTGAGCCACATTAAGCCAAACCTCCACTCTGTTTCCAAGGAGAAAGTTCGGATCACCGAAAAGAGGTAATCAGCCGTCTGCCTACCTCCCAACGCGCACTGCTCTGGGCCTTTCGGTCTCAAGGCTGCCCTGGTTCTCTGGAGGACGAGGCCTCCAAAAATTTTCCCCATTGCAGAACTAAGACTGATGGGTCTGAGGTCGGCCGGGGACTCTGGCTTGGTCTTCTTCGGCAACAAGGTAACGATCGTGGTGAGCCATGCTTTCGGGACTGGCGCGCCAAGGCGGACTGATTCCATCCAGGCCAGGAGAGATCCTTCTGTCACCGGGTCCTTGCAAAGTTCCTTGACCAATTCGTAGGAAGTCAGGTCAAGACCAACAGCTTTTCCTCTCTGGCCTTTGGTCACCACACTTCTTAGCTCTTGTGTATCGAAAGCTCTGCCATGCATTTCTGTGCGTTTCCAGGCAACTGGCTTGCATTCTTCGGTCGCCGCTCTGAAAACCTTAGCGAAATGCTCTGTTGTCCACAGCAGTGGATCCCTATGTTGGGCATAGGCCTCTTCTGTCAGATGGACCGCCCACTCTGCACCTGTTCTGTCCTTGAGGTCTTTCATGTCCTTCCAGGACCCCTGGCTCGCTCTCTGGATTTTGGCATTCAACCATTCATCTCTGGCTCCTCTTCTGGCAGACTGCGCATGCTTCCATGCTTGTTCCGTGTCAGCCAGCTTGGCACGCTTAAAGGCAGCACGGACTTCCGGCGGATCTCGGTATCGAGCTCCCTTTTTTGGCTGGGTGTACTCCCTCGCCAGCTTCTCTGCAGTGGCCTGGCTAAAGCCCACCTGCGGAGGGATTTCCCCCACCACAACTCTAGGTCTGGTGTCACTCTGATGCGGCAGCTGAGGTCGCTTTCCCAAATCCACGGAAATTTCTAGGCGATCATGGTCTCCACCAATTTGTCGGAAGGACCCTTCAGCAATCACAATCACAGGCCTACGGGTACCTTTGGTGGCTACACCATCAATCTGTCTGCCATGCGCTCCCCTCCGCCGCGGTCTACTGGTGGGGGTTGCCCACTGGGGGGGTTGGGGGCCTGCAATTGGAACCCCGTTCTGTCCAGCTCAGACAGTAGGAAGTCAGCTCGCCCACAAGTTGGGAAGGGTTGTCCATACCCCCCTGCCGCCCCTGTCCACTTAAGCCACGTGTTGAAGTCGGCCAAGACAAGGCTGGGCAGGCTAGTGGGAGGTCTCAATCGCAGTAGCTGGTGCGCCTCCTCCGCAGTTTCCGCATCTGACACACCGGTGCTCAGGCGGGCAGAGCACAGCCAGAACTCCATTCCTGTGGACAGTCTTCGCAGCCTCACCCATATGCCCTGCTCGTTCGCCTTGCGGCGTAGACAGGTGTACTCTGCAGTCGGGAACATGATGCCATTGCCACGCCACTGGGTGTCACCTCTGTACTGTACAAGAGTTCTTTGTTCATAATGGCACGTTTGCCATCCTACCTTTGATCTGGGTAATTCTTGTAGGGCAAAGATTGCCTTTTCGGCACAAATCGCTGCACTATGTTCAGTTGCCGCGAGCGCCGATTCAATCGGCTTGCCTCCAATGTTCCATGAAAAGAAATTCACTGAGCCCTCCTCAGCCTTCTCCCCTTCGGGGGGGCCTTCCGGGCCGACTACACCCCTTGCACAATCACCGGAGCTACTGCACAACCGATTACCACTTCGTACTGCGGTTCCATCTCGCCCTTGCTGTCGAGATTGTCGGGCCGCACCAGTGATTTTTTCTATGCATTCCTTCTCGAATTCAACGAAGCCGTCCTGTTCGTGTCACTCGGAGATGAGGGCTTCCCAACGCTCCGTCAAGGTCTCACACGAGGCACCGAGCATGCGGGAGATCTGCAAGACATCGATCCACATTCCAGGGGCTCTTCCCGGGACCGTGGAAGCATCTCTCGGCGGGGTTCTCGTTGCGCTAGCCACAAGCTTTGATCTCATCCACACGGAGCCCGCTCCCCATTCCACATCCATAGCATGCTTCTCGGAGGCATTGACCTCGAGGATCAATCTTTTGGTTTTCCCAGCATGGCCAGAGCGGAGTCTCTCCATCTTCGTCTTGCTGAGCGCAGCCCAGAGCGTTTTCCCTATGGCCATAGATTTGGATGCCATAGAAGAAAACCTGATTTCCTGGACAAGTTGGATAAGATGTCGCTTGAGCTCCTGTTCGTTGGCCCCTGGGGGCCACTTGACAAGACCCATGGCATGACCACGACGGGGTCCGGTTGTGAAGATATCCTGGAACTTCTCCAGAACTCCAATGCGGCCGAGCATGTCCTTCAACTCCGGAAGCAGGTCCGCCTTGTGGGTATCCGCGTCCCATCCGCCAAGGATGACCAAGTTCTTTTGGTGTGCTTCTCCAGTGGCTGATCCCAAGTATGCCGTGCTGGCGTCAGATTTCTGGTGCTCCAGTGCCATAATGCGGGCCTCCATTCGGTCATGCTGATCACGCAACTGGGAGATATAGTCAGAATGTCGCACCACCTCTGCCTTGATCCCCTTGAGCTCAGCAGTCGTGGCTTCCCTCAACTCCGCAATCGCCCCCCGGATCTCCTTCGCCTGTGTTTTTGCAAGAGACTCACTTTGCTGACTGAGCAGCAACTGGAGGTCCGCAAAGGTAATCGCCCCAGAGGGATCACGGCGACGATCGTCACTGAGTCGCGGGGCTTTCGGGCTCCCTCGTCGTGTATCTTCATCCGACGGGCAGTCAATGGGCACGTCAGCCATGACACTGTGCGCAAGAGCCAGCACACGGACCACCCGGGATTGACGAAGAGGGGTGGGGACGGCAGGGCCTACGGAGACCTGGGAACCTTGAGTCTTGAGCCCTTGAGCCTTGAGCCAGGGGGTTCGGGACCTAGGGAAACCGGGGA